TTTTTTTTTTTTTTTTTTTTAATTATATTTTTAATTTTTATCTTATTTTTTAGATTTATTTTAATTTTTATTTATTAAAATATTTATTATAGTTTTTTATTTTTTATATTTAGATCAATTTGGTCATGTTAAAATAATGATCATTTTTAATTTGAAACATAATTTTGAATCAATTTTTTATTAATTCAAAACGTGAAATTTGTAACATTATATTCATTCATATAAAAATTATAAAATTAAATTGACGTTTGAATCTAAAAGGGATATAAATATAATGAAAATTATGTGAAAAATTTATCTCATGAACAAGTAAAAAATAATGTGAAATTGGATTTTTAAAATTAATTGTTTTTTAGACTTATTTTTATATGATTTTTATTATGTTTATGATAGTTTTTTGTTTGAATTGCATTTATTTTCAATAGCTTTCATGTAATTGAATCTATTGAGATAGATTTTAAGTCTTAAATCAATCTAAAAATGATTTAAAATTGTGTCTCAAAAGTGAAAAATAATAATTATTTCAAAGGGATCAAATCGATTTAAAATTAGGAAATAAGGAATCAAAATAAAAAATTTAAAAAGTAAAGAACTAAAATGAATTTTAAAAATAAGATAAAAGATTAAAAGTATTATTTAACCTTTTTTTTATAAAAAGGATTTGTAACTCTTTCCACCAATTCATATTTTATATCAAATTTTAACGATTCAACTATTAAATTAAAAATTCTTAATGTATAGATCAAGTTTGCAAATTTTAAAAAATTAAAAAATTATATAATATTTTATTTTATAAATTCAAATTAACATATCAAATATTTTTATCATTATTCGTCAAATTGAATTAATAAATAAAGTATTGAATAATTTTCAATTTTTTACAAATTTTATAAAATTGATTTACGCATTAAAAATTTCTTATTTAATGGTCGAATCATTTAAATTTGATATAAAATGAGTTATTTGGTGAAATAAATTTAAATAGATTTATTTATAAAGCTCTTCATATATATATATATATATATATATGAGGAGGGTTCACACGACACTGGTGTAATTTTTACTAAGTGTT